TTTTAGAATTCCCCTTACATGCTCGTACATTCCACGTACTGAGTCATTTGGCCTGCATCTTTTCATGATGCAGACACAAGCATTCAGTATCATCAACAGGAGCTCTGTTGATACATCTAGAAGTTCGAGTTAGCTATGGTGAGCCTCCTTATTTTCGGAGGATTTCATTTAATTTCAGTTTAGTCAAGATGTCGTGGGTCTTGTCCCGACTTCCATCTTTATCAGTTAGAGGCGTCATAGATAGTCAGTATAGTTGAGAAGTCTGTATTATTTATCATTTATTTTGTTAAATGTTTTAAGGACTTAAGTTGCCTATTTTATGGCGAGTTGAATATATTATTTTATTCTAAGTTGTTCATTTGAGTAAAAGTTTTGCAAAGTTGATTTTCATGAATTTTATTTCAGTTTTAAGCTTTTGCTATGCTTAAGTTAGTCTTCCGCTTGTAGTTAGCCAGGATGAGGGTTCGCTTGGGGTACCAACAATGGTTCTTGAGTGCCGGCCACGTCCAGGTGTAGACTCGGGTCGTGAAAAAACCTTGACTAAACTAAGGTCCTATTACCCACCTAAACTCATTCTTTTTGTAATTTTGTACACCTTTTTGGCTTACGTGGCATCCAAATATATCCCATGCGAAAATGGTCAAATAGCCCCCCAATCTATGGTCAGATTCTCAACTACACACTTTAACTTCACGGGGGTCCCATTACCCCCCCTAAACTTTTTAAAAATGGAATATATACCCCATTGAAATGCCATAACCAATCAAGTGTCAAGTGGGTGAAACACACGCACTTACACTTGTATTTCACTAATTGTTCTTTTTTAAAAGAAAAATAATTTCTCTTGGTCTCCTTCCTTTCTTCAACCATTTTTTAACGCTAAATTTTTGCATAAGCTTCATTTGGAGAAAATGTTGATGGATACAGTGGGGGACTTCCCCCACCCCTGCCTCTCTCTTTATCATCTCCTCCACTTTCATCATTATCTTTTTTACCCACTAAAAGAACTCTCCGCCATTTTCTCTTGAGAATAAAGCTTCAGATTGAAAAGACATCAAAATCATCGTAAATCTAATTTCAATTCCACCACCAAATAAAAAAACGTTTGACTGGGATTTTGTTGATTGTTCGTCGTCAGAAGAAAAAAAAAGTGTGTTGTTTGATGGTTCGTCGGCGTCTTGCTGCTTGTTAACAGTGACGAGGAAAAGAGACAACTAAAGGGATTTTGATTCGGTGAAGTTGCTCCTCCTATGGTGTAGGTGGTCTGGTTATTTCACTGTTGTTTCTTGGTCGAAGCTCAGGCGTGAAGATCTGTTTGGAGCTGACAGTGACGGAAAGGGGGTGAGAGAAAGAAGAAAGACAATAAATAAAGAAAATATATAAATAAAAATACATATATTAATAAAAAATAATTAAAAATAAAATTTTAATAATTTATTTTTTTGCTCACTCTCTCAAAGAGAGTGAAATACACCTACTTTGCCAGATCAACAATTAGAGAGGTAATAATTTATGTTTTAAACAGTTTAGGGGGTGATAGGACCCCATAGAGTTTAAGTGTATAGTTGAGAATCCAGTAATAGGTTGGGGGGCTATTTGAACATTTTCTCGCCTCAACTGTGTGGAGTCACGGGGTGTGTCACATAAGCCAAAAGGTGTACAATATTATATATAAAATTAGTTCGGGGGGGGTAATAGGACCTTAGTTTAATTAAGGTGTGTCTCTGAGATTTCGGTCATAGTCTAGGGGGGTACTTATGCCTTCTCCTTTTAAAGTTGATATACCTCTTGTTATAAGAGTGACTCATATATACTCTTATTGTTACACAAATGGCTCACATATACTCATTTCATCTAATAGAAGTGAAAAAAAATTATTTTTATTAATTTTTTTCATAAAAATAATAATCCATGTAGAGGTATATTTGATCCTTCTCAAACGTTTTTTTCGTCTAATTCAACAACTAATTTAAATTTATTATTTTGATGGTCAAATTTTTTTTCGCTTATTTTTTGTAAAATTTATTATAGATGCCGCAATCTTTCTTTACAAATATAAAAATTAATTACAATATAGCCGCAAAAAAAATAGTTTTAAATTATTATTTTTTTCGTTCACACTTCTTTCTTTTTATTTATCTTATTTTTACTCTAATGAATGAAAGAAAAATGAAATAAGACTAAGAAACTCAAATAATAATAATCATATATATATATATATATATATATAAGAGAATCTTAGGCCTGCCTACGTGGCGCCTCCACAAACCAGAATTTCCTTTTAATTTATTTATTTCCAAAACTGGCCTTCCCCTTTCATGAAAAGTTGTTACATTTATGAAAAGTTGTGACTTTTTATGAAAAGTTGTGACTTTAATGAAGAGTTGCGACTTTTATGAAAAGTTGTGACTAATGAAGAGTTGCGACTTTTATTGAAAGTTGTGACTTTTATGAAAAATTGCGACTTTAATGAAGAGTTGTGACTTTTATGAAAAGTTGTGACTTTTATGAAAGGTTGTGACCTTTCCGAAGAGTTGCAACTTTTCCAAATAGTTGTAACCTTTCCGATAAGGCACAATAACATTTGTTCACACTACCATTTGTTGTCTATAAATAGA